ACAAGCTGGTGCTGAGCACAGGATAAGAAGCCCCTCACCCACCCTGTGGCTGGCACCTGGCACTGCATCCACTCTTAGCCCACCTGGGGCTGCCTATGCCTACTCAGAACAGCCCCACACGGGCTGCAAGTGGCTACAGCAGTGCACACCAGCCACGAGGCAGGGGACAGACCACTTTTCCCCGCACTCAGCACCAGCTCATCCCCTGCCGGCGAGCAGGAGGTTGAGGCTGCATGCTGCCTCCCACCTGTACCATGGGGCTGGGGGGTCACTGGGAATAAGCAGGTGCATGGGGCCCACACCAGTGTCCCAGGGCCAGCACTGGCGGGTCCCAGAGCGGGGCAGCAGGAGTACAGGTCCCGGCCAGCAGGGGCTTTATGGAGCCAGGCCAGCTCCCTCCTCTTCCTGCTGGTGCAGCCCAACCTGGCTCCACAGAACCCTGTCAGCCTGCACCCTGCTCTGGGCCCCACTGGTTCTGGCCCTGGGACATTGGTCTCAAGACATTGTGACATTAGTCCCAAGATGGTGACCAGGGGTGGGGCACCTGTCAAGGTTCAGGGCTACCCATGCTGGCCTCGACAGCTCGCCAAAACTGGGTAAGTGGCCCTCCGCCTGAAATAATTGCCCACCCCTGGTCTAGAGCCTAGAGTCCCCCTGTACTCTAACATAAGATAGGATTAAAATTTCTGACTTCATCTGGCTAAGTGCCCATACAGATATCACCAACTCACTGTATCAACTCACATTCGTGCTCTTGTCCCACAGCAGATGAAAGCTAAGATGCTGTAAGTCAGCCCTCATCCATTTGTGCAGCTTCTGTTAACTGCAGATAAGGGTGTGCTTATGGGCAATTACCAAAAAGCAGCTAGTGCACAGTAACTCTTTATTCCCTTTGCTTCACGGCAATTAATTTGTCTGTACATTCCCTCAGAAATAGTTATTTTGGAGAAAATATTCCATATTGTGTGTGGATACATGTGTTCCAGAATAAGAGCACATTCTTCTGGTTTAGTGTAATCCATAGGTGCTCAACCCCCAGCCTGTGGGCCATATCTGGCCTGTGAAGTCAGGTCACATGGCCCAGCATGTTCCCACAAGTTTGAAAATTTCGTGGCAGGGGAGCAGTGGCAACATTAATTGCTGCTTCCCTCTGCCAGATTTCCAGATCCATGGGGAGCCCATCAGGCCCTGCATGTTAGATCAGGCATGTCGAGCTGGGGTGGTGCAAGGCAGAATCTGGGGCAGTGCAGGGCCCACAAAGGATCCAGCCCATGAAATGACCCTGCACCACTCACACAGCCCATGGGGCTGAAACACTGAGCACTGCTACTTTAATGCAATCCTTTCTGAAACTGGAATGTAAGCAAGAAGCCTGACAGGCAGGCTGGAGGCTGAGAACCCCTAGTCTAGCCTGCTTTTGAAAGCTTCCAAGGATGGAGGTTCCACAACTTTTCTAAGTAGCCTATTCCAATGCTTGACTAACCTCATAGCTAGAAAGTTTTTCCTAATGTCCAATCTAAATTTCCCCTACTGCATCTTAAGGCCATTGCTCCTACTCCTGTCCCATTTGACCATAAGGAAAAACCCATCTCCATCCTCTCTCTAATCATCCTTCTGGTACTTGAAACCAGTTATCAAACCCCTCAGTCTTCTCATCTCCAAACTAAATAATCCTAGTTCTTTCATCCTTTCTTCAGAAGTATTGCCTCCCAGACCCCTAATCATTTCTGTTGCACTGCGGTGGACTCATTCCAGTTCACATCCTTCTTGAAGTGCTCAGAATAGCATTTAGTGTCCAGCAAACCCAGTCATACCATTGTACTCTACAGGACACATATACACAGGTATTAATGCACCATAATTACAGCGCCTTAAGCTTAGTACCTGTAATAACAGGTACTAATTTAATGTGCGGTAATTGGCACTACTGTGCAGTAGTGCTGGCGCACGTCTTTTAAGTGACACTAAGCACAGTAGATTAATTCTACTGTGCATTAGCACATTAGCATGGCTTTTACCATGGCACACTAATGTGCAGCAGAATTAGTTTACTACACTTTTAGCTTCTTGTGTAGACACACCCACTGTGAATCAGAGTACTTCCTCAGCAGCTTTAAGATTATATGTTGTTCACATTCATTACTCTGGGCTGGTATTTTGCTTCAACTGAAAGACTGCAAGGGCCTTTTTGAAGTTCTACCTAGATATCAAAGCTAGTTTAAAAGGCTATATTTCAAAGTGTATTAAAATCTATGTTGATACTCAAAATGTTTTGAAAATTGCTAGGTTTTATCAATGTTGTAGGTGGAGGTAGTGATATGCAGTGTTCAGCCATCGCACTTAGGTCCTGCCTTTATGTCCACTCTCTCCTAGTAAGAGACTATTTTACTGTTCAGGTTGTGTTAAAACCAACCTGCATAGGGAAATTGCCTTGAAATTTGCATGCCACAGCAGAGGCTGGTGCATAGTTTGTAGTGGTAGTTTCAGGTCATATAGTGAAGGGCTCCCATGATACATGCCTCCTCAATGAGCCCGTTTTAACATTTGCCAATTCTTATAACATTTTCAGTACAGAGCTATGAAAAATTGAAGTTCTGGCTCTCTTGAAAATAATAGCACAGGCTGCTTCCGAGATGAGTTAGAGAACAGAATCAAGGACCAGTTTAGAACTATTTTCAAAAGTTGTTGCACACAAAAAGCGGTACCAGCTATGGTTGCAGACTGTTCGCATCTGTGAATTCTGTTGTTCCTTTAGAAAAGGGTGAATGACACAGAGTTAGTATTCTGCTTAGGCAGTGGCTTAAAAAAAATAATTAGTATGCCTTGAGCAAAAGAGTCATGAGTTCGGCTCCCCTTGACCTGCCTTTTGATCGCTGTCAAGAGCTGTGAGGAAAAAACTATGAGGATTTGGCCTGAGGTGAATTAAGTACTTATTAAAGTTACTGTGTTAACAGTACAGGTAACTGAAGTTCTAGTTATGAGAAGAATGGCTATATGTATAGAAATTCAGTACTTGTGTAAACTACACCAAACCAATGTGCCTTAACCATTTCGGCACGAAACATCTACAGCAGTGGCACCCAACTCATTTGGTCTCGCAAGCCAGACGAGAAGTTTATGTATTGGATAACTGGGATGAGGCAGGTCTGCAGGCCACATCTGGATCCTGGAACCATACGGCCCTGGAAGGACTGAAATTTGGTGGTGGCAGCATTAATTGCTGTGGCTCTTGGAGGCATGGCAGCTACTGCCACTCCTGCTGCTGCCGAACTTCTGGCTCTACACACAGCCCCACACATCACATGAAATGGCTCCATGCTCCAGATCTGGCCTGTGGGCTCCTCTGACTCTGGAAATTTGGCAGTAGGACAAGCAGCAGCATTACAGCTTCAGCTCATGAACCTGCAAGAATTAATGTTGCCACCACTTACCATGCTGCCAGATTTTCAGACCCACAAGGGGCTCTTTAGGCTGGATGACATGGCTCCTTGGGCCATATCCAGCCAATGGACCATATCTTGGTCACCTCTAATTTGAGGGTAAAGAGGTTAGTGCAAACATTAGTTCTTAGCCTCTTGCCTGAGACTACCAGCTAGCGTGCTAACTGGGGCCACCTGTGGTTAACTGTTTTGATGGTTTGTCCATTTGAGGATAAATCATGCTAGTAAAGGTGTATGTTTTTTTTAACTAATACTGTTTTAAAGCAGTGTGCCATTTTTTGTAGAAGATTGCTACCTTAAAGTGAGCTGTCAAGTTTCAGAAATGCACTGGGAAGGATTATTGAACTGAATTGCCTTTTTCTCTGTCAAAAAGCAGCTAATATAATACCTACTCCTAAATCTTGGCATTGAGGTAAGCATACTTAACTGTGTTTTGATTTAACAAATTTTAGTAGCACTGATATGAGAAAAAGTGGTCTTCCTAAACTCCAGAAACATCTGAGATTTACATTCACATGCAAATTGTAAATAGATTGCTGCTGGGAATATTGTTTGAGACACTTGCATGCTTTATTATCCCATGATGATGATAAATTACAAAACTCACTATAAGTGCCTCCCAGCTTTCTCAGAATACAAATGGAAATTATTCCTTCAGAGAGATTTGCCAAGAGGCTTATTGTCATCTTGCATTTCTGAGAGTTGTTCTTTCCATATAGAATGGAAAACAAATATGAAATGGTGCTAGAACCTCACTTTTTCTTATCCTTAAAGCTGTATTCACCAGCAACATAGAAAAACAGCATCTAAATCAGAAATCATAGGGCTATCATAGGGCAGGTCCACACATGCAGGCACGTGCACTTGCAGCAGCACAAATAGCAGTGGCACAAATTTGTGCCAGAGATTTGTGACTCAGAGGATGTACCTGAACATGAATTTTGATGTAGGGCAATTTGTGCCACTTTAGGCAAACAGACTCTGCTCAACTCCTTCTGGATCTTCAGTCAGGGTGAGCTGGAGACTGGAGCCAGCACCTGTGCTTGCCCCAGCGGTATCAGAAAGTGCCCTGGCAAACAGCCTAGCATGGGCAACTGGTGCCACCTTAGTCGAGGGGGCATATGCCCCCCCACCCAGAGACCAGTCAGTGACTAGTGGTCACTTTCCTTTCACTTGTCCGTTCACATTTCCAGGCAGAGTACCAGTGGGCAGTGTCCACTGGCTCCTAGGATGCCTTTGAGGACCAGTGGGTGCAGCCCAGGGGTCTCTGCTTGGTGTCCCCCTCTGGAGAACTTCTTTTCAAATTTTGACCCTTTGACCACCATGTCACTCCTATCCTGTTTTTGCTTTTGTTGTCCAAAGAAATTAGTGGTATCTTTCATCCTTTGCCCCCCCGGAAGGGGCTATTAGTTAGCTGGGTGAACCTTAAGACCCACTTAATATGGAAGATACAAATAGATGGACTTCTCAGGCCCAGGAAGTTGGTGTCTGGAGACATTAGCCCCCTGTGCCAGCTGGACTGTCACAACAGCCCTCACCTAGACCTAGACTGGCCCCTGCATGCTGTACCCACTGTAGTACTGTTATCTGCTGTACCCACTGTACTGTTATCTGCTTCTCTGTTCACTGGGACTCACCAGGAACCCCACAGATTAATCCCAAAGGTTACTGACATGTACTGTTCCAGTTCTCACAGAAAAGTCTGCAGTCTTGCATCAGCTTTAAAAACAGAAAGTTTCAGTAAAATATTTCCAGTTGAAGAGGGAGAATTTGAGTTATGCATGGAATAAAAAAGATACTTTTGGACAAAGCAAGTGATGATGGCAAAGGACCGAGTCAAGACATGAGTGGACATTTGGTTCCCTGGGGAAAACTAGTGGTGGCACACCTTGTGCTCTCACGAGTTGCCCCAGATAACACCTCCATGCGCACATCCAGGAGTCGAAAAAAGCTCTCTGCGCTGCTCCGTTGCAGCATGGAGAAAAGCCGAATAACACATCTGCGGCATCACATATCATATGGCTATGTTTGTCTGGACATGGCAAAGGAGTACTTCAAGTCAGTAGAATTATGCCATTGTATTTAAGTGTGAATACATAAGTACTTGGTTGTGTATTCTGAATATTCCACCAATATATGAATGCTATAGAAGGCCATGCACATTAGCAGATTCTAACAATGTCTGCTTTAAAGACATCATGAATAATGTGAGATTTTTGTAAGCTAAATTTATTCATGCTTTGGTGTTATATTTGAAGGCTATTTTGTCATTTTTAACTAGAAAAAACACAATTAAAAGTTCATTAAGATGCTACCTGGTAGCAGAAATGGAGGAAATAAAGAGCGAAGGGACTATTAAAATAATTTAACATGCATTTTCACATCAAGACCATTATGAATGATTGTTTTTGTCATGTTATTGAGACATCAGACTTGATGGAGGCAATTGTAAACTTTTACAATTTTTGTTGTACCATACAATTCTTCACAACTTTTGAAGTCATGGCTAAGAGACAAAGCTCTCTTCCATAAGATAGGCTCTCTTTTTTTTTTTCTTGCTTGCTGGTAATGGGATTTTTGCTATAGGACAGCACAGTTAGCCATGATTCTATGTATTATTCAGTATATTATTGCATACATCATAGAATGAATTATTATACATATGCTTGCACTAAGAGGAGTTTTATAGCAGACTGAAAGCTGCTGAATACTACAGTCCCTAGACTTTCATGTACATTCATTATAGATGAAATCCAAATTACCTGTATTAGATAACTGACTAATTAAACTTTATGCACTGGGAAGTGCAAGACATGAGAAGATGACATGCTGGGCCCCATTATGTCCTGTAATCACCCTTTTCTATCGATATTCACTGCTCAAGTTGAACTGTAAAAATAGGTTGGATGCCTGTATGGCTTATTATCAGGGATCTGGGTTTTCCGTTTCCCACGGAAAAACACAGTAAAATACGAATTTCCCCCCTTACCAGAGTACAATGCAAATTTCTCATTTTCACAGAGAAATCCATGAATTTAACTGTTTTGCAATGGCCTCTTCCCTACAGGGGGCTGGGAGGGAGCAAGATGGTGGTCAGGCAGGGGGTGCCATGTGCATGTAGATGCACATGGCCCCAGACTGCCTGGAGAGCAGCTTCATGAGGGTAGGGGGAAGATTGAGGCCCCCATAGGGAGGGAACAGGGGAGTTGTAGAGGGCTGGGGCTGCTGCCCAGCCAGGAGATGCATGGGGCTTGGGGCCTGGGGCTGCAATGCACAGCTGCAGGGCTCCATCAGGAAGCGGGATGAGGCCAGGGCAGCTTGTTCAGGGGCAGGGGTGGGGCCAGCTCCCCACTTTTCCATGCACTCCTGGGGGGCAAAGGGGATCCATGTCCCCTAGATCTGTGAGCGGAGCGGGGTTGGGCACAGGCTGCCGGCTGCGAGTTTAGGCTCCTGCCCTGCTGTCCTCTAACGGGGCCTCCGCAGCTCAGTATGTGCAACCCGGAGTGGCAGGGGAGAATGGGGCCATGTAGGGAATCTCCTTGCCTCTGCGCACTGCCCTGCCCATGTATCCTCCATGCATGGGGGCAGCAAGAGAAGTGGCACAGGGTTGTGCCACTCACTGCAGGGCCACTTAGAACTCACAGGAGCAAGCAGCTTTCCTGTATGGCCTCACTGTGCCCTGCAGTGCCAGATCATACATGCCAGGCTGCAGAGGCCCAGGGAGAAGGCAGCAGGGCAGGAACCCACAGTGGGCAGCATGCAGTCCCTGCGCTGTGCACCGATCTGAGAGGCATGGGTTCCCTGTGCCCTGGCGCTGTCCTGGCAATGCATCCTCCACACATGGGACTGCAGTGAGTGGCACAATCCCACACTACTTTCCCCACTCCCCTGTAGGTGGAGAATGTGTGGCCAGGGCAGTGCGGAGCTCACAGCACCAAGGAGATCCCTGTGTGGCTCCGCTGATCCCTGCCACTCGGGGTCCCACTCACCAGACTTCGGAGGCCCTGGGGGAGGGCAGCAGGGTGGGAGCCCAAATCTGCAGCAGGCAGCCTGCGCCCACCCATGCCCCGCACACAGATATGAGGGGCGTGGGTCTCCCCTGCCTCACAGGAGTGTGGGCAGTGGTGGGAAGCCAGCCCTGCTCAAGCCCCTGCAGTGGGCAGGCAGCAGGGGGAGGATCCAGTCTCTGCTCTGCTGCAGCAGCTGCAGCCTCCTGCCAGGGACAGGGCTGTGGACTCAGGTCCCTGGCCCCATAGCCCTGTGGGCCCCCTCCAGCAGGGCTGGGGGGAGCAGGGGGCTGGGGGTGGGGAGTGAGGGGCACCAGCAGGGCTGTCAGGGCTGTGGGGGCCCTTTTATTTTAATAAAGGATTTGGGGGGTTTTATCAGAGTATTTGCAATTTTTTATCAGGGAAAACCAGGATCCCTGCTTATTATGGATACTGGATCTATACAAAGGCAGATCTGTTGCATCAGAAATAGTGGGAATTTCTTCTTTTGGAACTTGAAACCATATAATCAGGAGAAGATATTTTGAGTTTGATTTTTTTCATTGTTTATTTTCTTGTTGTCAAGCCATATGGAAAATTTCTGTTCCTGGCTGACTCAGCCTCTTAAAAGAGTCAGACTGGTTTAGAAAGATTTTAACCAGATTCCCCTGGTTCCATATCTAAGAGGCTGGTTAACGGTTGAAATTTAGGTTGCCAAATATAATTTATAAGAAGAAACTGGATTCAGCTGCAGCATATTTTTATCCTCTTCCTATCTTTATATTTTGTGAAGAGATGTTTATATTTCTTCAGTCTTATCAGGAAGAGAATGGTAAAAGCTTCAAGTGCTGTTCTGAGTTATTTTTTTGAGAACAGCTTAATGCAGCCCCCTAACCTTTGGATTGAATTTGAATGATTTGATTGTCACATATAGAGTCATAGAGAAGTAGGGCTGGACGGGTCCTCCCCAGGTCCTCCAGTCTAACCCCCACCCAAGTTAGGCTCAGTCCTATCCAAACTATCCTATACAAAACATAGTCTAAACTCTACATAAGACTGCTATCAACTCTGACACAGCACAGACCTAACACCCCAACCTGCCACAGGTAAAGCAGGGGAATCATGGCAACCAATGTCCTCCTTCTATAAAATGTTGTCAGTATACTATGTTCAAGAGGTCCTAGGTAGAGAGCCATGTCCCCTGCTACAGAGGAAGGCAAAAGCCCTGCAGTCTATACAAATCTGACTATGGGGTAAAATTCCATCCTGACCCCCAAACATGGCAATCAGCCTGACTCTGAACAGAGGGGCAAGACCCTCTAGCCAGGAACCTTTGGCTTTGTCCCAGCAGGAGCATTGGCATACCCCATTCAAATTCCTCAGCCTCAGCTGTACCCAACACCCAATGCATCTGGGAAGGCTTAAAAATACCCTGACATATAGAAGGAAAGGGGTTGGGAGGGAGCAAGGCTCAACCAGCGAAGCCCAGAAGCAGGGGAAATACCCACAGTAGAGCATCATAACTATGCCTAGATCATCCCTGACCAGTAGCTATCCAACTTCTTCTGGAACACCTCCAGTGATGGAGAGTCCATGACTTCCCTAGGCAATTTATTCTACTACCTCACTATCCTAACAGTGAAGAAGTATTTCTGGATATCCAGTTTAAATTTACTTTGCTGCAATGTCAAGCCATTAAATTACATCCTCCTCTCTGCCTTCTTCTTTATGGCAGTCCTTTGAGTATTTGAAGACTGCTATTATGTACCCTGTTAAGTGTCTTTTCTGCAAGCTGAACATGCCTAACTCCTTCAGCCTCTCTTTGTATGGTTTGCTTTCCAAGTCATTTATCATCTTTGTGGGCAGTTGCCCGCTTCTGTATCTGCACATCCTTTTTAAAATGTGGAGCCTAGAACTGCCTACAGTACTTCAGATGAGGCCTAACCAGTGCTGAGTAGAGAGATACTATCACCTCCTGTATCTTGTACTTAATGCTTCTATCGATGCATTTCCCAAAACCACATTTGCCTTTTGTGTGGTTTCATCACACTGCAGACTCATATTGAGTCTGTGGTCAACCAAAATTTTGAAGTCCTTTTCCATACAACTGACATTCAGCCAGGTGTCACCTATTTTACGTTTGTGCTTTTGATTATTCCTCCCAAGGTGTAGCAACTTGCATCAGTGGGCCTGGGCTGAGGTGCAGCAGTGCTTTCACCAGCCAGGTACCCCTATGCTGACACCTGCCCCAGGTGCCTGGCCAGCCACCCCGCACCTGGGCCCTTCCCCACCACTCGCCTTAGCTCCATGCAGCCTTGAAGCAGGAGCTGCCTGCAATGGGGCCAACAATCCATGTGGGCCCTGCGGGAGGAGGAGGCTGCTGTACTAGCAAACCATCAGCCACCCTCACCCCTGGGCAAGCCCCCCACCTGCCAGCCTTACCATGGTGTGCACACCCATGGGGGTACAGCCAGAGGCTGGGGTGCAGGGCACCTGTCCCCCTGCCACTACCCTCCACCTTGGGAGGGCACACACAGTACTGTACATAGTCTGCATGGGGAAGAGGGTGATTTATTTGTGGTGGGTGGGGTGGGTGGTGGAGGGACTCTGTGGGGAGGGAGTTAGGGGCTCTGTGGTTTTGGAAGGGACACTGGTGACATGTAGGGGGTGCACATGGGTGAGACTGGTTGTGCATCCCCTGGAAGCGCCAGCCGCAAAACCAGAAGTGCCAGCAGAAGTGCACTTCTGGTTTTGCCAGTTTCACCGCTGGTGGTTCTGTGCTCAGATGCTGGGGAACTCCCCCCCACACCCATCGGCAATGAGCTGCTAGGGGACTCCCTACCCCCTTCGGCAATCTGGTGCCCCTCCAGACTCACAAGGCACCAGCTGCCCACCGGGGGGGGTGGGGGGTGAGGTCTGTTGTGGGTGAAGGAGGAGGGAAGGGCTCTGTTGTGGGGGAGGGACAGGATTTTTTCCTGGGGAGGGACGGGGGATAAGGTCAGTGTTTGTGAAGAGGAATGAAGTGCTTTTCTGAAAATTATCTACAGCAAGCATGGTGTTGGAGGCACATGGTGGGGTTGAAGTCCAAGGCTAGCTGCATAGGTGGCCTACAGTGGCAAGGTCAGGAGGAAGTGGTCGGCCATCACCTCTCACACCCAGTGCCCTGGCCCCCGCTGATGGTTGAGTGGCTGGCCCAGGGCCTCAGTGGGAAGGGCCTGTCACTGTCACGACAGCTGGTGCTCCTGATGCCAGGCATCCTCTGCCTGCTGCACCTCCTCTGCCCAGGCCTCACGGAAGAACTCCCCCCAGGCCTTGCATGTTTTATGCAGTACACAGGCTGCAATGATGACCGAGGGGGGATGTTGGCCTCTGCAATTTCAAGGTGGGTGGTGAGGGTGAGCCAGCATTTTTTCAGGCAGCCGAAGGCGCACTCCACCAGTGCATGGGTCTGGCCCAGGCACTGGTTGAAGTGTGCCTGGTGGGGGTGCAGCTGGCTGGTGTA